CAGGTGCGGATCAATTGGAGTATATTCAGCTTGAGCAGGATCTTGTACACTATTATTCAAAGAACTTTGTGTCTACTCCGATGCCTCGGAGAAGGCTATACTTGCTCTGGCCTACCTCAAAACCGTAGAATACAAAGGAGAACCACACATTAGGTTTGTGTTCAAAAAATCTAAGGTAGCTCCCAAGCACGGACACACCATCCCACGCTTGGAGCTCTGTGCTGCGGTGTTGGCGATCGAAATAGCGGAGACTCACAGAGGAACTGTGTATTTCTCGAGAACAAGTGCTTTTCCATATGGATAGCAAAGTAGTTCTGGGATATGTCACAAACCGAACACGTCGATTCTATGTCTATGTGGCGAACAGGGTAAGCAGGGTCTTAAAATTCTCAAAACCAGAACAGTGGAGTTACGTTCCTTCGGAGGACAACCCTGCAGATTGCTTGTTGCGAAAGACAGTTGCTTGTTGCAGAAGACAACGCTTGGAATGCGATATACCCCACCGGCACTCCTGGAGGAGAGCATTTGGCTACAGGGTCCACCTCAGCTGGCGCCTTCGGAGAATGTTCTCTTGCAAGGGACCTTTTCTTTGGTCAATCCAGATAGAGATTCTGAAGTTCGACCAGAAGTCAGCGTCGTAAAAACGTCGGTTCAAAGTTCCAACCACCTTGGCTTCGAGCGCTTCAACAGATTTTCGAGTTGGGGTAAGTTGGTGACGGCCGTATCATTCCTTAAACATATAGTCAAAGGTTTCAAAGGCAAGGGTAGTGATTCCTGTGCAGGACGGCATACATGTGAAAGCCACAACACCACAGAATGGCGTAGGAAGTCGGAGGAGTTCATCATCATGGAAGTGCAACGAGAGTTCTACGGGAGAGAAATTGACCATCTGAAAGAGAAGCATTCGCTACCTCGTGATAGCAGTATACTTTCTCTCTCGCCTTACTTAGATGAAAATGGTGTCCTCAGGGTTGGAGGGAGGATACGAAGATCAGAGCTGAATATAAGTGAGAAGCACCCTATCTTGATTCTGGACCATCACCACGTGACCCTGCTTATCACACGTCACTACGATAAACTTGTTCAACACCATTTTAGGCACTTTACAGAGGGTGCTATCAGAGCTGCTGTAAGGTGGCCGAGATGGCTACAGATATTTTTATTATTTATTTGTAATTCATTTTCATTCCAAATTCATTTTCATTTCAAATTCATTTTCATTTCAAATTCATTTTCATTTCAAATTCATTTTCATTCCAAATTCATTTTCATTCCAAATTCATTTTCATTTCAAATTTATTTTCATTCCAAATTCATTTTCATTCCAAATTCATTTTCATTAGCTCATCTGACATAGTCAGATGCAGCTTGTAGAATCGCATGAGCGTGCGTCCTTCCGGCCGTGCGTTCGTCCGTCCGTCCGTCTGTGCGTCAACAGTTGGGCACAAATCTTAACCGCTTGACGTATGGTCACGATATTCGGGACGACTGGGGGGATGGACAATTTTAAAAGACATTAATATAAGTACGTGGACAGTCGAGGAGTCCATCGAGTTCTTACAGTCAGTAGGGCTCATGAAGAGGGTCCAGCTATGCGCTAACTGCGATGAAGAAATGTACCTAACGCGATACGCACGACGTGCCGACCAGTTTGTGTTTTGCTGCACAAGGCAGCAGTGCAGGCATATGAAAAGCATCCGCACGGATTCGTTTTTTTTGCGAGAAGCCACCTTGCTCTCCATACGGTACAATGTTTTCGTGCATTTGTATATGCAATACTAACAACCAATGTATAAAAAACAGTTATATTCAACAATATATAACCAGAACCGCCCAGGACACGTCGGCGCACGGTAATAACTGAAACAAACCATAGAGAAAATACACATTAGTCATCTCACTGTTCACGTCTGCGCAAGCGCAAGACCACTACCCTTACCAGCCACCAGCCCTCTCCATCGGTACAGACTCGTGCATGGTGAGTCACAAGACCACAGTGCTCGATGCAACTCACCTTGTTTCTTCTCACCTACTACCCCCCGCAGGAGTTGCGGTGGTCCTATCCCTCATTCGCTGTACTCGTTCACTCCCATTCCCCTGAAATGAGTAACTCACACCTTATCACACATACACTTCGGTGAACAAACAGTCCCGGCCTTCCCCTACTAGCCAGAAATACGTCGGAGTTTACAAACCACTCCCTCGACCATTACGTGATGCGGAATCCGGAGTTTTGGGATGAAAACTCTGGAATCCGTCTCAAACTCTGACACTCTAACGGGGAACAAACCTCAAATTCGTTCTGACCAAGGGTAAGAATTATGAACATCTATGGGTGAGTAGCGTGGTTACAGCCGGCTAGAGAACACGTGTAGCAACTACCTCGGGTGCCTTCAACAGTCGCCGCCCGAATGAGTGCGGTGCTACCTTCGGCATATGGTAATATATAATAATGAGATGGATTTCGTCAGCAACTGCCAAGACAGCAGAAGAACTCACCGCAACCCACAAAGAATATATATTTTTAAAAAAATATATAGGAAACGAAATCTCACGCGTCAGGCAGCTCATGCAGCCGGGATGAGAGGCAGACCTGGACCCCTTGCAAAAACTTGATGAGGAGGACAGGGTTCTTGTTAACTTTTGACAAAGCAGGTAATTTGACAATGAATAGCAGGTAACTGTTTTTCCGGCACGGACGGTAGGGTTTTTTTCAAAGTGTTGTTTTTTGGGGTTAGAAATGAACGTATGTATAGGACGTCTTGCTATGCACAAATGAATTTATCAGTAGAACACCAGACACCAGATGAGCCCTGTCGCTCTGCGGCACTTGTTTTAAATTCATTTACATTTCAAATTCATTTTCATTCTAAATTCATTTTCATTTCAAATTCATTTTCATTCCAAATTCATTTTCATTCCAAATTCAGTTTTTGGCATGTCGGTATAGCTATAGGTAGGAGTTTGATTGTAGTATGTCGTACGTACGATGGGATAGCGCGCGCGAATGACACCGGTGCAGTGCAGTGCGCAGGAAGCGATCGATTTGTTTTTGTAAGTCGTGTGTACGCGGGCGTACGGGGTTATGGCAATAACGGATCACGTACCAGCCGTCTCGACCAAGTGATAGCAGCAGCAGTAGGACATGCCGCAAATATATTAATTGATGACTAATTGACAACACTGTACATAACTCTCTGAAAGTCTTTAACTTAAACTTCATCATTGCATGATTTTACTACATCTGAATTTCTTCCTTACCTATAAACCCAAACATGTCAGGCATGGAACTTGATGATTCAAACAATTTTCCTTGGGTCAATGGTACAAGTAGAGCTTTTAAATCAAATCCCAATGTTAAACTTATTGTATTTGTAGTCTAAAAGGAAAAATAAATAGCTTTAAAGAAGAGTACCTTGAAATTTTATACATCTGTTTTTCTCAGCTTTGTAAAAGTGATATGTATGTCTACGGTTTCTAGCATTTCTGATGTTTCCAATCAGACTGCGTATATTACTATCTAAATGACAGCTCCCTGGTGTATATATATACTCCTTATACATTGAAGCTATAATTGGTTATCAGCTTTAGTTAAACAAAATGCTATTTGCAAACATTCTTCTCTCATTCTCTCATTTGCAGGCACTTTTAAGATGGCTGCGCCTAGTATATTATCTGATGTTTTATCGGAAGACAAGACAATCGGAGGACAAATATACATGTAATAATATGGTGCATGTCGCTAAAAACCGCAACGTAACAGAAAGCCTCTGACTTGGTTTGATGCAGTCCTGCATTACCATTTCTTGGCGAATAGTGAAGGGTGTTATTAACTTATAAGCAAGATGTCTTGGAAATACTCCCTGTCCAGACAGTGAAATTGACGAAATCGCTCAGCGTCTAATTCCTGGAGCAATTGGCACACACACCATACCTCTGTCGCCTCAAAATCCACCCTCTGGCCCATCTCTCCCTCTTAAAAGCCCTAATTCGTAGACGATGTCGACGCCACAGTAAAAGAAACAAAATTTCTTCATCTTCGGAGGCAGACGAACTATCGGTATCCGCCATTTTGTACAGTCAAGTGATCTACATTACCACTTATAACTTAAGTAATTTTACTCACGTGTGCGGCGGACGCTGAAAATATTTCACAAGTTTTTAGACGCATACATCATTGACTGAGTCAAATTACGACGTGTGCGCCGGGTTAAGATTAGTGAAATAATAGCTACAAGCCCAGTTCGGAACTTTATTTCGTGCCGTTTTCATTAGTAGATTTACGTTTAAAGCACTTTTCCCAGTCTGTGTTTGATAAGCATGATCCCACACCTGGATAGTCCGCTTTGTTGAAATCATAAAGTAATGTTGTGACCCTAGGGGTGATCACTCGGACATTTCCCTGTGCGTGGATGCGCAGGGTATTTATTTGTTTCGCAGATATTCCTCGCTAACCCCTAGGAAGGGGCCGAGGGACGTGCTGGTGTCGTGGTTCCGGTGTGTACGTTTGTGTGGTGTTTTATATGCGACGTTATACGGCAAGGAAACGATCCACAGGATTGATGATTAACGTGTCTGACGGCAGTCAAACATTTATTATAAAAACAACGTGGAGAGGTACATATATGCGTAGAATGCCGAATATAAAATCGCACATCATTCGGGTGCGTGCCTAAAACTCAGACTGACTATACAGACTATAATAATTCACCCGGTTCACAGCAATTCACACGCACAATGCGCGAGACCTGCGCGCAATTCACGCGCAATATGCGTGTGACAATAGATCTTTTTTTATTATGTGTTACGTTTCTAGCGATGATACCGCGTGAATCGTAATTCGAGAGAAACGTCATTATCGCTTATCCCAGCATGCCGTACTGAGACGTCATTTCCGACCTGCAACCGCGGGAAAGTGTGTTTGTTACTTAGCAAAATGCCAAAAGTAATAAAATACACGAAATTGAAAGTGAGAGTTATTACTGGTGCAGCTGGTGGCAGCAGGAAATCGCTAACTGTGAAAGTAGACAATAAGCGGTTGGTGAAAAGTTGTGATGATGTTGATGATAATTTTGATTTGCCTAGTGTCAGTGACACTGACACTGACAGTGTTTCTGGTGCTGCTGGCACTGCAAGTGCAAGGGGTAGCGCTAGCGGTGGACCAGCTATAGGACCTACTACTACTAGTACTACTACTACTAGTACTAGCAGTATGAGTACTACTACGGAAATGGACATCACCAATACTGCGGACAGTGTTGCTGGTAATCTACAGCCTATGGAACACAAAGATACACGTATATATAATAATTAATATATTAGTATATTATAATAAATTAAATAATTAATGAATATATATTATTAGTATTGTGACTATTAAAACTAGTAATACTAATACCCGTAATAGTATTAGGTTAAACTTAAGCTGACATATTATTAATAATAATAATGCTGGTGGATTCACAATCACATAATGATTGAGCCCCCCACCCCTCACTCGACCCCTGCTCACTCGGACACTCCCTCTGCTTACCATACTCGATCGTCTGCAGTCCTAATCACGTAATTATAGCTACTCTCTGCCCAAACTTCTTTCCTTCCGAACTCTTCATTTGTTTATTCATCATTTATATTCAACCTATTATTCTTCACAGTTCATTCTGGCTACCAGGCAGCTAGACAGCGAAGGATGGGAGCTTGGGCTGACCTCCGCCCATCTCTGTTGTCAGCGTACAAGAAGGTGACTCGTGGGAAGCAATGCATCATTTGTGGGGCTGAAGATCCCCCAATAAGATGCACAGATTGCAGCTATTCGAGCAACTACTGCACTGGTTGCTTTGAAACGGCCCACTTGCATCTAAAGCTGCATGTTGCTTATTACTGGAAGGTATAAATATTCAGAGTGGCTATATATGCCCGGCATTCGGCTATATATCTGACGGCTTCCGGGCACGGTCTTTGATTTCCTAAATGCCCGCCAGTTTTTAATTTTCAGCGTTATCTCAAGTAAACAAGGGTTAGGGTTAGGAACTGCCGGGCATTTAGGAAATCAAAGACCGTGCCCAGCTGCCGGGAATACAGCCACAGAGATAAATATTATGATAGTGAAATCTACCTTAAAACAAACGCTGTGGCTATATGCCCGGCAGCCGTCAGATATATAGCCGGTTGCCGAGCATATAGCCACTCTGTAAAACAAATGCATGACGTGTTCATTAAGCTCTAAAATTGTCATATGTTGAAGTGGTACCGTTGATGTACAGATACTATAGAGTTAGCACATATTTTGCCCAGTACTTGAGTAGTGTAATATGTATATATAAAGAAACAGCAAAACATTCAGATTACTATAAACAGTGATGAGTCATTAGTGATGAATGTCATATGCTAATTCTCTTATTACATATGTAGTGATTTGATCTTATATTTTATTTTTAGAATGGAATGTTCACCCGATATGACACCAACAGGGTGGAAGTGTGGAATTGTGATGTGGACCACATATGCTCATCAGGTTATCCCAAGGTTGTTACAGTTGTTGATGCGAGAGGTAAAATATGATGTAGGGGATTTATTAATTGTACGTTATAAAGCCATTAATTTCGTTTTATTTACCAAAGATGTTAGTTTATGTTATGAATGACCATTTTTGTTTTCTACCAGCTCAGCATATTCTGTAGCCAGACATACAATACATATATAAAAAGTCATGTAAAGCCTGTTGCAGAAATTTTTCAAGAAATTATATAGGCAATCACACGAATATGCAACACAAATAAACGCTATATATGTAATGCACACGGCTGTTTACTACACTACATTTACATGTGTCGTAAATACAGATATACCACACTATTATCATCTCTTTTTTAACATAGAATATAACCACATGTATTTTTAGGAAGACAACACAGTGTTCAATTAACCGTGTGCAGCTGCAACTCTGCAGCGGTCACAATGCTACGGTATGGCTTGTGGCCATCAACGCCAACGAACCCCCAGGTGGCATTCACCATTGAGCTGATGGAACTTCTTAGGCTGCTGGTACTTGAGTGCCAGGTATCTGTCAAGGGCTTCTGTGAGGTGCTGATGCTCTATGGCGCTGAAGACCCACTGGCAAACAATGATGTAAATATAGTAATATATTTTTGCAAACCTTAAGAAATATCACTATCCATAAACTCTGTTGTAAGCTTTACACAAGCATTATCATCTTTCTTGAGTATTATGTTTCTCCTGTCGATAAATGCCCAAACTCACACCTAGTTACATCTGGATACAGATTAGAGACATCTACAGAACCTTGCAAGGAGGGTGTTTTGAGGAGTATCGTAACTTGTGGAGAGAGGCCAGATACCCAACGGCTGCTGGAGGTGATGATGGCACAACATGCCCAGCCTGCCCTAAGGTACAAACACATATACTTGAAAATATCGATGTTGGACTACTTGAGATTCTCTGTGTTATTTGGTCTTGTTTTTGGTCATCAAGAACAAAAAGAACTTATATATTTTGTGACTTAAATATAGTATCTTTTCACAATTTGACAGGACACAGGGACCCAAGTTTTCTCTATTGATGGCAATTTTGGTCTTGTTCGGAAAAAGGCGGCTGGCATTGACCTGGGGACTGGAATGTCACCTCGATTTTTTCTCCCACAAGACCAAGTTGACCAGTATGTGAGCAAGGCTGGAGTGAAGACTAAGAAAAGTGATGGGGTATGGGGAAGAATATTGCTTTTATAATATAGCGTAAAATATCCAAGCTCGCATTGTTCAGACTTCACAGATGCATGTGGATCTTGTGGATAAACCCAACTCGCATGATGTGCTTTTGATTTATTAGTTGACACTTTATTTGCTGAAATGTGAATAATGTAACATCTGAGGGCCAATCTGTTGTCAGAATATGTGTGCTGTAGTAACTCTTTACCACATTTTTACTTGCAGGTTTGCAGTGATTTCAAAGCTGGCAATCCATTAAGGAGCAAATCCCGACATGAGAAACTTGACATAACAGGAGTTTTTGGGGCTGTCTGCCGCCATGATATGCCGAAAAGTTTCTTGAACCTCAGGCATGGTGAACGGTGAGTATATGTCAAAACTGGTACATGATGTATGTATGTAGTTGTGCAGAATTAAATTTATCACATAGTGTGGACAATAATAAATCTTTCTAACATCATTAAACTTACACATCATCACACTATCTATACTTAATATACTTGTCAACTATATTTTGTAACATAACTGTGCTTGTTTTTAGCCTTGCCTATCCAGAGTTTCTCTGCCAGTGGCTTCTTCAAGGTGTGAAGGTTCCTAGGGTGGTTATACTGTATGACATTGCCTGTGTTCTGGAACAACATGCTCAGGTAATCTTGGTTATATTTCAGGTTATATATCAGTTGATAATTATGTAGAGAAATGGTATTCATATAAACTACACGTATATTACGTATATATGTACATATGTACGTACATATATATTGACCAATTCCCTAATTTTGACAAAAAATACATTTTTATAGTACTATTGCTATTCAATGTTGTCTTAAATTTTCTGCCTTATGTTTAATGGTATTGGCAGTTATTGCCAACTTTCGTAACAAATTATATCACCGACAATATCACAATAAATTATTCAGTTTTTTTTCTCTAAATGAATGTTGTCATCAGAGTATATAAGCTTAGAATATAGATAGGATAGCTGATATTTTTGTGTTTATTTACAAGATGAACAAAATTCTAATTATCTCCCACTTTCATCATGTTTAAAAACTGTTTGCTCTTTTAGAATTTGGACCCAATGTCTCAACATCCGGAACGCGTGGTTGAATTTGGGATACCAATATTCCACATGTATGGGCATAAGGTTGGATGTCAGGTATGTTGTGTTTTAAAACGTTTTTTCTGCGTTATTATCAAAATCATCCCAGATATCTCTTTCTGAATGTGATAGATATGACGGTAAATGTGCTAATGTACGTGTTGCTATTTAACATTTATGTGACTCTTACATTGAACATGATGTTAGGGTATTATATCTGGAATTGTAATCGCAATCGAATCGAATTCTGCAATTAATAACATATTTTTGACCCAAAGATGTAGACGAGTGGTTCTTAACCTTTTTTGAGTCATGGACCCCTTTGAAAGTCTTGTGAAAGCTACGGATTCCTCCCAAGTAAAATCCACATGAGCACATAAACACAAAATTGTGTAACATGGACCTGGTTTGCGAACCCCCAGAAGCTCAACAACGGATCCCAAAGGGGTCCATGGACCACAGGTTAAGAACCCCAGATGTAGAAAGATTGTTTCTTTCCAGCACATAACAATGCATTTGCTGAAGACTATACTAAGCTCATTGTTAAAACCACATCTTGGCTGTTAGTATAGGCTAATTTTGTTTTCTTGCTTACAGGTTAAATATAGTCCACGTAGGTTATCCAACATTGGACTTACAGATGGAGAAGGAATGGAACGCTTGTGGTCGTATCTCAGACGTTTCAACCGCATCACAAAGGAAATGACCCCCGACCACCGTGTGGCACTACTAGATGATGCTTTGCTCCACAACTCAGAATACCTCAGGAACCAAATGGGTATACACATATTGTTCTTGTGCTCAGTTATACAGTTTAGGTTAAGTTATTGATCCTGAAATGAAGGCATGATCTATCTTCATGATGGTTTTCAGAAAATAAATAATGTGTCAGCCAATTTAACCAAAGACCACTAATTTAAAGTAAATTTGCCATAATTACTTGTATAAATATGAGCCATTTTCTAGCTATAGCTATTTCTATCTTCTAACTATATTCTAAAAACGTGAATTGCTGTTCAAGCTGTTAGTTCATACATTATAGGAGAAACCCTGATGCATCGCTACATAAAAGCGCAGACAACCAGGAGTAACTGCGATCAGGAGCTTGAGCAGCTAACATCACGCTTGTCAGGTTGGACATTTATAATCTGTTATGTTTGTTATACTTTTTTAGCTCATCTGACATAGTCAGATGGAGCTTGTAGAATCGCATGATCGTCCGTGCGTCCGTCCGTGCGTCCGTTCGTGCGTCCGTCCGTCAACAGTTGGGCACAAATCTTAACCGCTCGACGTACGGTCACGATATTCGGGACGTGAGGGGTAATCCGAAAACGAGTTGGGATGTTGAAGCTGGGGGTCAAAGATCAAAGGTCAAGAGGTGTAAAATAAGGGGGAACAGGGGTTTCTGTGTGCGCAGCCTCCCAGCATCCACGCGTGGTCCCACCCCGTGCTAACGTTGTTGTTGTTGTTGTTGTTGTTGTTGTAGAGCATCATGAGAGGATGCTGCGGCCGGGGTTTCTGTGTGCGCAGCCTCCCAGCATCCACGCGTGGCTTCATGCGACTCTGCCGCAGCGATGACGGATCCCCTCCCTACGCGTTCCCTCACATCCCGGGAGTGTGCGACAACACCCACCACCGTCACAATGGTACGTCCGCCCCGCCCCCGCCCCCGCCCCTGCACAGGGCGGGTTACCGAGAGAGAATGTGTTTATTATTGACTGTTGTGACTATTGTTATTATAATTATTATTACTATTATTATTATTATTGTTACAATAAATAATTGTCGCGGTGTATGTAGATATTCGTCTGTCTTCATCCTCCGTCGCTCTCTCCATCTGTCTCATCCTCGTCGCTCTCTCCATCTGTCTTCATCCTTCGTCGCTCCTCTCCATCGACTGTCTTCATCCTCCGTCGCTCTCTCCGTCTGTCTTCATCCTCCGTCGCTCTCTCCATCTGTCTTCATCCTCCGTCGCTCTCTCCATCTGTCTTCATTCTTCGTCGCTCTCTCCGTTTTCTCCACAGCTCTATGCGTGTCTGAGCAAGCAGGAGGTTGCCGCGGGCGACCGTTACCTGCAGTGTCTCCCTGTCGCCGGGCAACGACCCCGCCCGCCGCCCGACCTCGCACGGCTGGCGCCCCCTGGCGGCGCACCTCCCCACGAGCGTGCTGCCCTCTACATGGTCGCGGCGGGACTGTCGCTACGACACCTCGAACAGACGCCATTTGGCGTTGCCATGCCGATACTCCAGGCTCTGTACCGCTGCCGGCAGCATCCGTCCTACACGTGGCCGGAGGAAGCGTTCGCGCTGATAGGTGATTGGTTAAAATTATTAATTGATCAGTAATCGCTAAAAATTAATTGACTAGTATTAATTAAACATTTTACATTGATTTTTTTATTGACAAACAGATGATTTGTAATGACAAAAATTTTACATTAATTGTTAATCTATAAAAAAATTGTAATAATTTGTAAAATAACTTAATTGATACCTAACTTTTAAAATAATTTCAGTACTTATACTTGATTAATCCTCAAAATAATTACCATTTATTTTTTATTACTACCATTAGTGCTATGGCTGTTATTTAATCGGCTATCTTTTCTCGGCGGTGTTTTAATTATGAATTAATTTATTTACATGGTGGTGATCAGGGAGGCAGGATCTGCATGAGCAGTCACAGCTGTGCAGCAGGATGGCTCGTCACCCCCGCCACCCCCGCCACCATCCCACCGCGGATGCCTCCCTCGTCATCGCGAAACCAGACGAGGAGGATGACGGCCATGCTGAACGTGGAGAATGAGGTACAAAATATAACAGCTGTGCGTGCGTGCGTGCGTGCGTGCTGAACGTGGAGAATGAGGTACAAAATATAACAGCTGTGCGTGCGTGCGTGCGTGCTGAACGTGGAGAATGAGGTACAAAATATAACAGCTGTGCGTGCGTGCGTGCGTGCGTGCTGAACGTGGAGAATGAGGTACAAATATAACAGCTGTGCGTGCGTGCGTGCGTGCTGAACGTGGAGAATGAGGTACAAAATATAAGACAGCTGCTGCAATGCGTGCGTGCGTGCTGAACGTGAGATGAGGTGCAAAATATAACAGCTGTGCGCGTGCGTGCTGTGCGTGCGTGCGTGCTGAACGTGATGAGAATGAGGTACAAAATATAACAGCTGTGCATGCGTGCGTGCGTGCTGAACGGGGTGGAGAATGAGGTACAAAATATAACAGCTGTGGCGCGTGGCGTGCGTGGCTGTGCGTGCGTGCTGAACGTGGAGAATGAGGTACAAAATATAACAGCTGTGCGTGCGTGCGTGCTGAACGTGGAGAATGAGGTACAAAATATAACAGCTGTGCATGCGTGCGTGCGTGCGTGCTGAACGTGAGAATGAGTACAAAATATAACACAGCTGTGCATGCGTGCGTGCGTGCGTGCTGAAGCGTGGAGAATGAGCGTGCGCAAAATATAACAGCTGTGCATGCGTGGCGGGCGTGTGTGCGTGCTGAACGTGGAGAATGAGGGTACAAAATATATCAGCTGTGCCGTGCGTGCGTCGTGCGTGCTGAACGTGGAGAATGAGGTACAAAATATAACAGCTGTGTGCGTGTGCGTGCGTGCGTGCTGAACGTGGAGAATGAGGTACAAAATATAACAGCTGTGCATGCGTGCGTGCGTGCGTGCGTGCTGAACGTGGAGAATGAGGTACAAAATATAACAGCTGTGCATGCGTGCGTGCGTGCGTGCGTGCTGAACGCAGGGGCGTAGCTACGGGGGGGCCTGGAGGGGGCACGTGCCCCCCCACAAATTGTCTGTGCCCCGCAGGTGCGCGCCCGCCACTG